CCTCCTAACGATGTGGACGTGGTTGCCGTACGGCTCTAGGCCTGGTGGTCCATGGTGGAGCGGGGGCCCGTGTGCTCCGTGGAGCTGGGGGGCAGCTGGGACAGCCCTGCTGCTCCCCTGGGGGGGATGGAGATATCCCCAGGGCACCCGAACCACCGGAAGAAGCTTTGGGCACCCTCCTCTGGGGGCAGCCATGGCCTCTCCAATGGGACCTCTCCGACCCATCCCAGGCAGGGCTTAGGCTCTGCTTACCTCGTAAGACGGTGATGTTTTTCAGCATCTCCCCGTGCCGGACATCCACCACCTTCATCTCCTCCATGACCATGGACAGGTTGCGGATGTCAAAGTCCAGCCGGGCGCTGAGTAGGCTGTAACGCTCCCGCAGCAGGTCCGTGGTGCCTTGGACCAGGCTGAGGGATCTGTTCAGGTAGTAGAGCTCCTCGGCGTGGGTGTGGAAGCCCAGGGTGCAGGAGAGCCGGACGTCATCCAGGTAGCGCAGCATGCTGTGGACGTGGCTGTCGGTGGCGTTGATGTTGGCGAAGATGGTGCCGATCTCGATCTCGTGGGAGGTCATGCGACCTTCCAGGGTCTCGAAGCGTTCGGCCGTGCGGTTCTGCGTGTACCGGTTGTGGTAGCGCAAGTCGTTCATGTTCTCCTCGTGGTCATCCAGGAAGGAGGAGATGTTGTCCAGCTGCAGCTGCAGCCCCATCACCTGCAGCACCAGGTCGTGCATGCTCTCCGAATTCTGGCCGACCTGCCGAGCCGCCGCGCCGATGCTGCCTTGGATGCTCTTCACCAGCTCGCCCGTCTTGGAGGAGGCGGCCCGCAGCCCGCCGAAGAGGCGGGTGTAGTTCTGCCACTCGGTGACCATCTTCTGCAGCGTCAGCGTCTCCTCGTCCGTCTTCCTCTGGATGACCTGGATCCAGTCGGAGGTTTGCCCCAGGGTGAAGTTCATCTGTTGCATGGCTGCTCGGACGTCGTAGCGCTCCTGGGCCAAGCCCTTGAGAGAGTTGTCCAGTTGGGAGGTGACCGCTTGCCAGCCCCCAACCTGGGCCAGGAACTGCCCCAGGCTTTCGTTGACCCGCCGGATGGAGAAGGCGCAGTTGTCCACCTCGTTGGTGATGGTGTTGCTGGTGGACGAGAGGAGGTCGTGGGTCTGGGAGGTGCGGTCGAGCAGGACTTCCTGAACCAAAAGCATCTTCTGGATCTCCTCCAGCTCGCCCTGCAGCTTGGTGATCTCCTGCCCCAGCTGTCCCGTCTCGTGGCACAGGGAGCAGTTCCCCGAGGTCTTCTCATCTGAACGAAGGGCAGAGGGGTCTGTTACCCCACCCCATCCCTCACTGGGCCTGGAGACCCCCCCTGCTGAGGACCAGGGAGGTCTCACCATGCTTTGTCCTTGCAGACCCTGGAGATGGGCACCACGGAGCCGCGGCTGGGACAACCCCGATGCCACCAGCTCCCACCCTCCTGCTCCTGCCAGCTCCATGCAGCAAGTTCCCCCAAAAGCCCAACCCCACCCTCGAGGTCATACAGTTGTCCCTTCCCAAAATCCTGGGAGATGTGGGGTTTTGGCTCTGGAGGAGCCCCAGGACCTGAAAAGTGGAGACGCTTCAGCCCCTGGCTGGCAGCACCAAGCCCCCGGGGCTGCTGAGCTGGAGGGAGACGTGGAGAAGACATCCAGGTCCAAGCCACTCACCCAACCCCTGGAGCTCCTCCTGGATGGATCCGATCTTCCTCTCGTAATAGATCTGGGCTGAGCTGATGTCGTTGGAGATGGAGTCGACTTTCTTGAACACTGGGGAGGAAAAGTGGGGGTCAAGGGGAGGTGCTTGTCCTCCACGCCTTGCCTCCAGGCTCGTGCCCTGGCAAGGAGGGCTTGCAGAGCCAGGCTGGGTGGCTGGTGGGTGCTCCGTGGGGTGGGTGTCCCAAGGGGCTTTCGGGTTCAGGGCTTGGCTGCCAAGCATCTCCAGGGGTCCAGCCCCGGGGCGCCTGCCATCGCTGAGCCTGGGAGGCTGTTCCTTGCCCGTGGAGGTGATGGGATAGCCCCCCCTGGGCTCTGGGGTGGTTCCTGAGGTCCCCGTGGGGGTAACACCATCCCCCACTGAGGTGGCATCATGCACAGGGTCCCACGTGCATCCCAGGGGCAGGTCAGAGGGAGCTGGACGCTCCTCCGCATGCCTGGATGCTGAAGGTGCTTTGGGAGCGCCCCGGTATCCCCGTGGGGCTGCCCCAAGGAGTGAAGACAGGAGGGAGAACAGGAGCCGGACCTCGCAACCCTGGCAGTGCTCACCCAGGGCGGCCAGCACGGTCACGGCCACGATGAGGAGGATGAAGAAGACGTAGAGGACCTTGACAGCCATCTGGAGGGAGAGGTTCTTCTGGCACCGGCTGCAGCTGGTCTGTGCCCTGCCTGAGCGCAGAGAGGGAAGGGTCAGGCCCCGTGGCACCCCCTGCCCACCCCGGGGGGATGTCCTTACCGCTCGGTCGGTAGCCGAAGGTCGGCATCTCTTCTTCCTCTCCTCCCGCCGGCTCGTCTCCTGAAAGCCAACACAGGAGGGACCTGAGCTGC